TGAGAACTTAAAAAAATGAATGAATGAAATATAATTTTAAAACGTGGAATCCGAAACCACGCCTGCAGAATTTTACTGGTGACTTAAACGCAGCGCTTTAGACCGCTCAGGAATCTTAACCTGTGAAAGATCTTTCCATTACATTTAGTTTATGAAAAACTAAAAAAATAATGACTCAATAAAAATTACATTATCAGCGGATTCAAACCCACGCCAAAACCGGGTGACTTCGACATGAACGTAGCGCCTTTGACCGCTTGGCCATCCAAAAATTTGAGAAAACGTAACCTTTAATTTACTTTTATGAGAACTAAAAAAAAACTCAACTAAATATAATTGCTCGACGTGGGAGTTTGATTCCGCGAACGCGCAAGTGTACTGCGACCTGATTGCAGCGCCTTAGACCACTCGGCTTCCTCACACGTGCGAGAGCATTTCCTTTACATTTAAGTTGAGAACTAAAAAAATGACTGAATAAAATTCTCATTGTCAGAAGTGGGGATTCGAACCCACGCCCACAGAAGGGGAATTTGATCTAAACGCAGCGCCTTAGACCCATCCTGACACGCAGAATAGCCATGTAGTTTTTTAAAACTCCTGAAATAAACATGTGAAAGAGTTTGAACCCACGAACACGCTTGGACTACATTTAGTTTGCTCGTCCCTAAGCAAAAAGTAGTTCTTTAATCGACTGAATAGAAAAACATTGTCAGAAGTGGGATTCGAACCCACGCCAAAACGAGTGGGACTTCGACATGAACGCAGCGCCTTAGACCGCTCGGCCATCCTGACACGTGGGAGTGTTTCATTTCATTTAATTAATGAGAACTTAAAAAAATGAATGAATGAAATATAATTGTAAAACGTGGTATCCGAAAAACCACGCCTGCAGAATTTTACTCGCGACCTTAAACGCAGCGCTTTAGACCGCTCAGGAATCTTAACCTATGAAAGATCTTTTCCCTTAAATTTAGTTTATAAAACTAAAAAAATGAATGAATAAAATGTTACTGTCACAAGTGGGGATTCGAACCCACGCCAAAAGAGTGGGAAATGTGGCCATCCTAAAACGCTTTAATTTACTTTATGAGAACTAAAATATAACTAAATATAATCCTGACATGTGATTGCAGAGTTTCGGCCATCCCTTACATTTATTTAAGTTATGAGAAATAAAAAAAAATCATGTGAATAAAATGTTATTGTCAGAAGTGGATTCGAACCCACGCCCACAGAAGTGGACTGCGACCTAGAACGCAGCGCCTTAGACCGCTCGGCCATCCTGACACGTGGGAATGTGTTTCCTTTCATTTAATTAATGAGAACTTAAAAAAATGAATGAAAAAATATAATTGTAAAACGTGGAATCCGAACCAACGCCCAGAAGTGGACTGCGACTTAAACGCGCCTTTTCCGTCTTAACACGCGATATCTTCCTTTGCATTTAGTTTATTAACCTAAAAAAAAAATGACTGAATAAATGTTACATTGTCCAAGTTTCGAACTCACGCCCACAGAAGGGGATGCGACCTGAACGCAGCGCCTTAGACCGATCGGCCATCCTGACTTGTGAAAGAGTTTTACCTTTCATTTAGTTTTTGGAACTAAAAAATGAATGAATAAAATGTTATTGTCATTGTCAGAAATGTGGAATTCAAACCCCTGCGCAAAATTTTACTTCGACATGAACGCAGCGCCTTTGACCGCTACGGAATCTTAATTCCTTATGAAAAACGTTTCGCCTTGCATTTAGTTTATGAAAACTAAAAAAATAATTCAATTTCAATAAAATACATTGTCAGAAGTGGAGTTTGAACCCGCCAAAAACCTAGTGGACTGCGACCTGAACGCAGCGCCTTAGACCACTCCCGGACGCGGACCATTTCCTGACACAAATGCGATCCGAAACAAGCGGTTGTGACCTGAACATTTAAGTATGAGAACGAAAAAAAAAAATGACTGAATAAAATTTTATTGTCAGAAGTGGGATTCGAACCCACGCCAAAAGTGGAATGTGATCTAAACGCAGCGCCTTAGACCGATCAGCAATCCTGACATGTGAAAGAGTTTCCTTACATTTAGTGTTTGGAACCTAAAAAAAGTATGTGAATAAAATTTTATTGTCAGAAGTGGATTCGAACCCACGCCCACAGAAGTGGACTGCGACCTAAACGCAGCGCCGTAGACTGCTCGGCCTCCCTGACACGCAAAATAGCTTTCCCTTGCATGTAGTTTTTAACCTCAAAAATAAATGAAAGAAATACATTGTCAGAAGTGGGATTCGAACCCACGCCCACAGAAGTGGACTGGACCTTATTGCAGCATCTTAGACCGCTCGGCCATCCTGACACGCAGAATAGCTTTCCCTTGCATGTAGTTTTTTAAATTTCAAAAAATGACAAAGAAATACAATGTCCGAAGTGGGATTCAAACCCACGAACACGCAAGTGGACTACGACCTGATTGCAGCGCCATAGACCGCTCGGCCATCCTGACACATGCGAGAGCGTTTTTACCTGAGAACTAAAACAAAAACGACTGAATAAAATTTTATTGTCAGAAGTGGAATTCGAACCCACGCCCGCAGAAGTGGAATGTGATCTAAATGCAGCGCCTATCAGCCATCCTGACATGTGAAAGACTTTTACATTTAGTGTTTGGAACCTAAGAAAAGTATGTGAATAAAAGTTTACTGTCAGAAGTGGGATTCGAACCCACGACCACACAAGTGGACTGCGACCTGAACGCAGCGCCTTAGACCACTCGGCTTTCCTGACACGTGCGAGAGCATTTCCTTACATTTATGTTATGAGAACTAAAAAAAAATGACTGAATAAAATTTTATTGTCAGAAGTGGAATTCGAACCCACGCCCACAGAAGTGGAATGTGATCTAAACGCAGCGCCTTACACCGATCAGCCTTCCTGACATGTGAAAGAGTTTCCTTACATTTAGTGTTTGGAACCTAAGAAAAGTATGTGAATAAAATTTTATTGTCAGAAGTGGGATTCGAACCCACGCCCACAGAAGTGGACTGCGACCTGAACGCAGCGCCGTAGACCGCTCGGCCACCCTGACACGCAAAATAGCTTTCCCTTGCATGTAGTTTTAACCTCAAAAAATGACTGAAAGAAATACATTGTCAGAAGTGGGATTCGAACCCACGCAAGTCGACTAGGACCTGATTGCAGCACCTTAGACCGCTCGGCCATCCTGACACTCAGAATAGCTTTCCCTTGCATGTAGTTTTTTAAATTTCAAAAAATGACAAAGCAATACATTGTCCGAAGTGGGATTCAAACCCACGAACACGCAAGTGGACTACGACCTGATTGCAGCGCCATAGACCGCTCGGCCATCCTGACACATGCGAGAGCGTTTCCTTACATTTAAGTTATGAGAACTAAAACAAAAAAGACTGAATAAAATTTTATTGTCAGAAGTGGAATTCGAACCCACGCCCGCAGAAGTGGAATGTGATCTAAACGCAGCGCCTTACACCGAGCAGCCATCCTGACATGTGAAAGAGTTTCCTTACATTTAGTGTTTGGAACCTAAGAAAAGTATGTGAATAAAAGTTTACTGTCAGAAGTGGGATTTGAACCCACGACCACACAAGTGGACTGCGACCTGAACGCAGCGCCTTAGACCGCTCGGCCATCCTGACACGTGGGGGAGTGTTTCCTTTCATTTAATTAATGAGAACTTAAAAAAATGAATGAATGAAATATAATTTTAAAACGTGGAATCCGAAACCACGCCTGCAGAATTTTACTGCGACTTAAACGCAGCGCTTTAGACCGCTCAGGAATCTTAACCTGTGAAAGATCTTTCAATTACATTTAGTTTATGAAAACTAAAAAAATAATGACTCAATAAAATTACATTATCAGAAGTGGGATTCAAACCCACGCCAAAACCGGGTGGACTTCCACATGAACGCAGCGCCTTTGACCGCTTGGCCATCCAAAAAATTTGAGAAAACGTAACCTTTAATTTACTTTATGAGAACTAAAAAAATAACTCAACTAAATATAATTGCTCGACGTGGGAGTTTGACCCGCGAACGCGCAAGTGTACTGCGACCTGATTGCAGCGCCTTAGACCACTCGGCTTTCCTGACACGTGCGAGAGCATTTCCTTACATTTAAGTTGAGAACTAAAAAAAATGACTGAATAAAATCCTATTGTCAAAAGTAGGATTCAAACCCACGCCCACAAAAGGGGAATTTGATCTAAACGCAGCGCCTTAGACCGATCGGCCATCCTGACATGTGAAAGAGTTTTCCCTTACATTTAGTTTTTGGAACCTAAGAAAAGTATGTGAATAAAATTTTATTGTCAGAAGTGGGATTCGAACCCACGCCCACAGAAGTGGACTGCGACCTGAACGCAGCGCCTTAGACCGCTCGGCCATCCTGACACGTGGGAGAGTGTGTTTCCTTTCATTTAATTAATGAGAACTAAAAAAAAATGAATGAATGAATTATAATTGTCAAACGTGGAATCCGAAACCACGCCTGCAGAATTTTACTGCGACTTAAACTAAGTACTTTAGACCGCTCAGAATCTTAACCTTTGGAAGACCGCTTTGCCTTACATTTAGCTTATGAAAACTAAAAAAAAATAATGACTCAATAAAATTACATTAACAGAAGAGGGATTCGAACCCACGCCAAAACCGAGTGGACTTCGACATGAACGCAGCGCCTTTGACCGCTTGGCCATTCTGAAATTTGAGAAAACATTTCCTTTAATTTACTTTATGAGAACTAAAAAAAATATCTTAACTAAATATAATTGCTCGACGTGGGAGTTGGACCCCGAACACGCAATTGTACTGCGACCTGATTGCAGCACCTTAGACCGCTCGGCCATCCTGACACGTGCGATAGCGTTTCCTTACATTTAGTGTTATGAGAACTAAAAAAAAATGACTGAATAAAATTTTATTGTTAGAAGTGGGATTCGAACCCACGCCCACAGAAATGGACTGCGACTGAACGCAGCGCCTTAAACCGCTCGTCCGTCCTAACACGCAAAATATCTTCCCCTTGCATTTAGTCCTTTAACCTCAAAAAATGACTGAATAGAAATACATTGTCAGAAGTGGGATACGAACCCCGAACACGCAAAGTGGACTAGCACCTGATTGCAGCGCCTTAAAGCTCTCGTCCCTCCTGAGAACACGCAAAATAGCTTTCCCTTGCATTTAGTTCTTTTTTAACCTCAAAAAAATGACTGAATAGAAATACATTGTCAGAAGTGGGATTCGAACCCACGCCCACACAAGTGGACTGCGACCTGAACGCAGCGCCTTAGACCGCTCGGCCATCCTGACACGTGGGAGAGTGTTTCCTTTCATTTAATTAATGAGAACTTAAGAAAATGAATGAATGAAAAATAATTGTAAAACGTGGAATCCGAAACCACGCCTGCAGAATTTTACTGCGACCTGAACGCAGCGCTTTAGACCGCTCAGGAATCTTAACCTATGAAAGATCTTTGCCTTAAATTTTTTATGAAAACTAAAAAAATAATGACTCAATAAAATTACATTATCCGAAGTGGGATTCAAACCCACGCCAAAACCGAGTGGACTTCGACATGAACGCAGCGCCTATGACCGCTTGGCCATCCAAAAAATTTTAGAAAACGTTTCCTTTAATTTACTTTATGACAACTAAAAAAAATAACTCAACTAAATATAATTGCTCGACGTGGGAGTTTGACCCGCGAACGCGCAAGTGTACTGCGACCTGATTGCAGCGCCTTAGACCACTCGGCTTTCCTGACACGTGCGAGAGCATTGTCTTACATTTAAGTTGAGAACTAAAAAAAAATGACTGAATAAAATTCTATTGTCAGAAGTGGGATTCGAACCCACGCCGACAGAAGGGGAATGTGATCTAAACGCAGCGCCTTAGACCGATCGGCCATCCTGACATGTGAAAGAGTTTCCTTACATTTAGTGTTTGGAACCTAAGAAAAGTATGTGAATAAAATTTTATTGTCAGAAGTGGGATTCGAACCCACGCCCACAGAAGTGGACTGCGACCTGAACGCAGCGCCTTAGACCGCTCGGCCATCCTGACACGCAAAATAGCTTTCCTTGCATAAATTTAGTTTTTCAACTTAAAAAAAAATGACTCAAAGAAATACATTGTCAGAAGTGGGATTTGAACCAACGCCCACGCAAGTGAACTGCGACCTGAACGCAGCGCCTTAGACCGCTCGGCCATCCTGACACGTGGGAGAGTGTGTTTCCTTTCATTTAATTAATGAGAACTAAAAAAATGAATGAATGAATTATAATTGCCAAACGTGGAATCCGAAACCACGCCTGCAGAATTTTACTGCGACCTAAACGCAGCGCTTTAGACCACTCTGAAATCTTAACCTATGAAAGATCTTTGCCTTACATTTAGTTTATGAAAACTAAAAAAATAATGACTGAATAAAATTACATTATCAGAAGTGGGATTCGAACCAACGCCCACAGAAGTGGAATGAGAAAAAAACGCGGCGCCTTAGACCGATCGGCCATCCTGACATGTAAAAGTGTTTTCCTTACATTTAGTTTTGGAACCTAAGAAAAGTATGTGAATAAAATTTTATTGTCAGAAGTGGATTCGAACCCACGCCCACAGAAGTGGACTGCGACCTGAACGCAGCGCCTTAGACCACTCGGTTATCCTGACACGCAAAATAGCTTTCTCTTGCATATAGTTTTTTAACCTCAAAAAATGACTGAAAGAAATACATTGTCAGAAGTGGGATTCGAACCCACGCCCACACAAGTGGACTGCGACCTGAAAGCAGCGCCTTAGACCGCTCGGCCATCCTGACACGTGCGAGAGCGTTTCCTTACATTTAAGTTATGAGAACTAAAAAAATGACTGAATAAAATGTTACTGTCAGAAGTGGGATTCGAACCCACGCCCACAGAAGTGGAATATGATCAAAACGCAGCGCCTTAGACCGATCGGCCATCCTGACATGAGAAAGAGTTTTCCCTTACATTTAGTTTTTGGAACCTAGGAAAAGTATGCGAATAAAATTTTATTGTCAGAAGTGGGATTCGAACCCACGCCCACAGAAGTGGACTGCGACCTGTACGCAGTGCCTTAGAACGCTCGGCCATCCTGACACGTGCGAGAGCGTTTCCTTACATTTAAGTTATGAGAACTAAAAAAAATGACTGAATAAAATTTTATTGTCAGGAGTGGGATTCGAACCCACGCCCACAGAAGTGGACTACTACCTAAACGCTGCGTCTTAGACCGCTCAGCCATCTTGACACGTGGGAGAGTGTTTCCTTTCATTTAATTAATGAGAACTAAAAAAATGAATGAATGAATTATAATTGCCAAACGTGGAATCCGAAACCACGCCTGCAGAATTTTACTGCGACCTAAACGCAGCGCTTTAGACCGCTCTGGAATCTTAACCTATGAAAGATCTTTGCCTTACATTTAGTTAATGAAAACTAAAAAAATAATGACTGAATAAAATTACATTATCAGAAGTGGGATTCGAACCCACGTCCACAGAAGTGGAATGTGATAAAAACGCAGCGCCTAAGACCGATCGGCCATCCTGACACGCATAACAGCTTTCTCTTCCATATAGTATTTTAATCTCAAAAAATGACTGAAAGAAATACATTGTCAGAATTGGCATTCGAACCCACGCCCACACAAGTGGACTGCGACCTCAAAGCAGCGCCTTAGACCGCTCGGCCATCCTGACACGTGGGAGAGTGTTTCCTTTCATTTAATTAATGAGAACTTAAAAAAATGAATGAATGAAATATAATTGTCAAACGTGGAATCCGAAACCACGCCTGCAGAATTTTACTGCGACTTAAACGCAGCGCTTTAGACCGCTCAGGAAGCTTAACCTGTGAAAGATCTTTCCATTACATTTAGTTTATGAGAACTAAAAAAATAATTACTGAATAAAATTACATTATCAGAATTGGGATTCGAACCCACGCCAAAACCGAGTGGACTTCGACATGAACGCAGCGCCTTTGACCGCTTGGCCATCCTGAAATTCGAGAAAACGTTCCCTTTAATTTACTTTATGAGAACTAAAAAAAATAACTCAACTAAATATAATTGCTCGACGTGGGATTTGGACCCACAAACACGCAAGTGTACGGCGACCTGATTGCAGCGCCTTAGAACGCTCGGCCATCCTGACACGTGCGAGAGCATTTCCTTACATTTAAGTTATGAGAACTAAAAAAAATGACTGAATAAAATTGTATTGTCAGAAGTGGGATTCGAACCCACGCCCACAGAAGTGGAATATGATCAAAACGCAGCACCTTAGTCCGATCGGCCATCCTGACATGTGAAAGAGTTTTCCCTTACATTTAGTTTTTGGAACCTAAGAAAAGTATGTGAATAAAATTTTATTGTCAGAAGTGGGATTCGAACCCACGCCCACAGAAGTGGACTGCGACCTGAACGCAGCGCCTTAGACCGCTCGGCCATCCTGACACGCAAAATAGCTTTCCCTTGCATAAAGTTTTTCAACTTCAAAAAATGACTGAAAGAAATACATTGTCAGAAGTGGGATTTGAACCAACGCCCACGCAAGTGAACTGCGACCTGAACGCAGCGCCTTAGACCGCTCGGCCATCCTGACACGTGGGAGAGTGTGTTTCCTTTCATTTAATTAATGAGAACTAAAAAATGAATGAATGAATTATAATTGCCAAACGTGGAATCCGAAACCACGCCTGCAGAATTTTACTGCGACCTAAACGCAGCGCTTTAGACCGCTCTGAAATCTTAACCTATGAAAGATCTTTGCCTTACATTTAGTTTATGAAAACTAAAAAAATAATGACTGAATAAAATTACATTATCAGAAGTGGGATTTGAACCAACGCCCACAGAAGTGGAATGTGATAAAAACGCGGCGCCTTAGATCGATCGGCCATCCTAACAAGTAAAAGTGTTTTCCCTTACATTTAGTTTTTGGAACCTAAGAAAAGTATGTGAATAAAATTTTATTGTCAGAAGTGGGATTCGAACCCACGCCCACACAAGTGGACTGCGACCTGAACGCAGCGCCTTAGACCACTGTACTGACACGCAAAATAGCTTTCTCTTGCATATAGTTTTTAACCTCAAAAAATGACTGAAGAAATACCAGAAGTGGGATTCGAACCCACGCCCACACAAGTGGACTGCGACCTGAAAGCAGCGCCTTAGACCGCTCGGCCATCTGACACGCAAAATAGCGTTTCTTACATTTAATTATGAGAACCTTGCATGACATGAAAGAGTTTTCCCTTACAAGTTTTGAAGTTTATTTAACACTCTGCGAAAAATTGACTGAATAGAAATACATTGTCTAAAAAAAAATGACTGAATAAAATTTTAAGTGGGATTCGAACCCACGCCCACAGAAGTGGACTTCGACCTAAACGCTGCGCCTTAGACCACTCGGCCATCTTGACACGCAAAATAGTTTCCTTTCATTTAATTTTGAGAACTAAAAAAATGAATGAAATGAATTATAATTGCCAAACGTAGTTTTTAACCACGCCTGCAGAATTTTAAAATGACCGCTCTGGAATCTTAACCTATGAAAGATCTTTGCCTTACATTTAGTTAATGAAAACTAAAAAAATAAGACTGAATAAAATTACATTTGTCAGAATGTGTAAGACCGATCGGCCATCCTGACACGCATAATAGCTTTCTCTTCCATATAGATTTTAATCTCAAAAAATGACTGAAAGAAATACATTGTCAGAATTGGAACCCACGCCCACACAAGTGGACTGCGACCTGAACGCAGCGCCTTAGACTGCTCGGCCATCCTGACACGTGGGAGAGTGTTTCCTTTCATTTAATTAATGAGAACTTAAAAAAATGAATGAATGAAATATAATTGTCAAACGTGGAATCCGAAACCACGCCTGCAGAATTTTACTGCGACTTAAACGCAGCGCTTTAGACCGCTCAGAAATCTTAACTTGTGAAAGATCTTTTCCTTACATTTAGTTTATGAGAACTAAAAAATAATGACTGAATAAAATTACATTATCAGAAGTGGGATTCGAACCCACGCCAAAACCGAGTGGACTTCGACATGAACGCAGCGCCTTTGACCGCTTGGCCATCCTGAATTTTGAGAAAACGTTTCCTTTAATTTACTTTATGAGAACTAAAAAAAATAACTCAACTAAATATAATTGCTCGACGTGGGATTTGGACCCACGAACACGCAAGTGTACGGCGACCTGATTGCAGCGCCTTAGAACGCTCGGCCATCCTGACACGTGCGAGAGCATTTCCTTACATTTAAGTTATGAGAACTAAAAAAAATGACTGAATAAAATTGTATTGTCAGAAGTGGGATTCGAACCCACGCCCACAGAAGTGGAATATGATCAAAACGCAGCACCTTAGACCGATCGGCCATCCTGACATGTGAAAGAGTTTTCCCTTACATTTATTTTTTGGAACCTAAGAAAAGTATGTGAATAAAATTTTATTGTCAGAAGTGGGATTCGAACCCACGCCCACAGAAGTGGACTGCGACCTGAACGCAGCGCCTTAGACCGCTCGGCCATCCTGACACGCAAAATAGCTTTCCCTTGCATAAAGTTTTTCAACCACAAAAAATGACTGAAAGAAATACATTGTCAGAAGTGGGATTTGAACCCACGCCCACAGCAAGTGGACTGCGACCTGAACGCAGCGCCTTAGACCGCTCGGCCATCCTTACACGCAAAATAGCTTTCCCTTGCATAAAGTTTTTCAACCAAAAAATTACTGAAAGAAATACATTGTCAGAAGTGGGATTTGAACCCACGCCCACGCAAGTTGACTACGACCTGAACGCAGCGCCTTAGACCACTCAGTTATCCTGACACGCAAAATAGCTTTCCCTTACATTAAAGTTTTTCAAACAAAAAAATGACTGAAAGAAATACATTGTGAGAAGTGGGATTTGAACCAACGCCCACGCAAGTGGACTACGACCTGAATTGCAGCGCCTTAAACCGCTCGTCCATCCTGACACGCAAAATAGCTTTCCCTTGCATTTAGTTCTTTAACCTCAAAAAATGACTGAAAGAAATACATTGTCAGAAGTGGGATTAGAACCCACGCCCACACAAGAGGACTGCGACCTGAACGCAGCGCCTTAGACCGCTCGGCCATCCTGACACGTGGGAGAGTGTTTCCTTTCATTTAATTAATGAGAACTAAAAAAATGAATGAATGAAATATAATTGTCAAACGTGGAATTCGAAACCACGCCTGCAGAATTTTACTGCGACTTAAACGCAGTGCTTTAGACCGCTCAGGAATCTTAACCTGTGAAAGATCTTTCCCTTACATTTAGTTTATGAGAACTAAAAAAATAATGACTGAATAAATTTACATTATCAGAGTGGGATTCGAACCCACGCCAAAACCGAAGTGGACTGCGACATGAACGCAGCGCCTTTGACCGCTTGGCCATTCGTAAATTTGAGAAAACGTTTCCTTTAATTTACTTTATGAGAACTAAAAAAAAATAACTCAACTAAATATAATTGCTCGAAGTGGGAGTTTGACCCGCGAACACGCAAGTGTACTGCGACCAGATTGCAGCGCCTTAGACCGCTCGGCCATTCTGACACGTGCAAAAAGCGTTTCCTTACATTTAAGTAATGAGAACTAAAAAAAAATGACTGAATAAATTTTTATTGTCAGAAGTGGGATTCGAACCCAAGCCCACAGAAGTGGACTGCGACCTGAACGCTGCGCCTTAGACCGCTCGGCCATCTTGACACGTGGTAGAGTGTTTCCTTTCATTTAATTAATGAGAACTAAAAAAATGAATGAATGAATTATAATTGCCAAACGTGGAATCCGAAACCACGCCTGCAGAATTTTACTGCGACCTAAACGCAGCGCTTTAGACCGCTCTGAAATCTTAACCTATGAAAGATCTTTGCCTTACATTTAGTTTATGAAAACTAAAAAAATAATGACTGTATAAAATTACATTATCAGATGTGGGATTCGAACCCACGCCAAAACCGAGTGGACTTCGACATGAAATTTGACCGATGCCGAATATCAGAAGTGGGATTAAGTGAAACGCAGCGCCTTGAACCCACGCCCTTAGAAGTTAGAGAACTAAAAAAAAATGACTGAATAAAATTTAAAAACGCCGCCGGAATGTGAGCTAAACGCAGCGCCTTCGACCGATCGGCCATCCTAACAAGTGAAAGTGTTTTCCCTTACATTTAGTTTTTGGAACCTAAGAAAAGTATGTGAATAAAATTTTATTGTCAGAAGTGGGATTCGAACCCACGCCCACAGAAGTGGACTGCGACCTGAACGCAGTGCCTTAGACCGCTCGACCATCTTGACACGCAAAATAGCTTTCCCTTGCATAAAGTTTTTAACCTCAAAAATTGACTGAATAGAAATACATTGTCAGAAGTGGGATTCGAACCCACGCCCACAGAAGTGACTTCGACCTGAACGCAGCGCCTTAGACCACTCGGCATCCTGACACGTGCAAAGTGTGTTTCCTTTTTCATTTAATTTGAGAACTAAAAAAATGAATGAATGAAAAAATTGCCAAACTGAATAAACCACGTAGAATACTTGCAGAATATGGGATTTTTAACCTCAAAAAATGACTGAAAGAAATACATTGTCAGAAGTGGGATTCGAACCCACGCCCACACAAGTGGAATGTGATCAAAACGCAGCGCCTTAGACCGATCGGCCATCCTGACATGTGAAAGAGTTTTCCCTTACATTTATTTTTTGGAACCTAAGAAAAGTATGTGAATTTTGAGGAAACGTTTCCTTACATTTACTTTTTTGAGAACTAAAAAAAAATAACTCAACTAAATATAATTGCTCGACTTGGGATTTGGACCCACGAACACGCAAGTGTACTTGCGACCTGATTGCAGCGCCTTAGAACGCTCGGCCATCCTGAACACGTGCATCCTGACAGCATTCCTTACATTTAAATTATGAGAACTAAAAAAATGACTGAATAAAATTTTATTGTCAGAAGTGGGATTCGAACCCACGCCCACAGAAGTGGAATATGATCAAAACGCAGCGCCTTAGACCGCTCGGCCATCCTGACACGTGGGAGAGTGTTTCCTTTCATTTAATTAATGAGAACTAAAAAAATGAATGAATGAAATATAATTGTCAAACGTGGAATCCGAAACCACGCCTGCAGAATTTTACTGCGACTTAAACGCAGCGCTTTAGACCGCTCAGAAATCTTAACTTGTGAAAGATCTTTTCCTTACATTTAGTTTATGAAAACTAAAAAAATAATGACTGAATAAATTTACATTATCAGAAGTGGGATTCGAACCCACGCCAAAACCGTGTGGACTTCGACATGAACGCAGCGCCTTTGACCGCTTGGCCATCCTGAATTTTGAGGAAACGTTTCCTTTAATTTACTTTATGAGAACTAAAAAAAATAACTCAACTAAATATAATTGCTCGACTTGGGATTTGGACCCACGAACACGCAAGTGTACGGCGACCTGATTGCAGCGCCTTAGAACGCTCGGCCATCCTGACACGTGCGAGAGCATTTCCTTACATTTAAGTTATGAGAACTAAAAAAAATGACTGAATAAAATTGTATTGTCAGAAGTGGGATTCGAACCCACGCCCACAGAAGTGGAATATGATCAAAACGCAGCGCCTTAGACCGATCGGCCATCCTGACATGTGAAAGAGTTTTCCCTTACATTTATTTTTTGGAACCTAAGAAAAGTATGTGAATAAAATTTTATTGTCAGAAGTGGGATTCGAACCCACGCCCACAGAAGTGGACTGCGACCTGAACGCAGCGCCTTAGACCGCTCGGCCATCCTGACACGCAAAATAGCTTTCCCTTGCATAAAGTTTTTCAACCACAAAAAATGACTGAAAGAAATACATTGTCAGAAGTGGGATTTGAACCAACGCCCACGCAAGTGGACTACGACCTGAACGCAGCGCCTTAGACCGCTCGGCCATCCTTACACGCAAAATAGCTTTCCCTTGCATAAAGTTTTTCAACCACAAAAAATGACTGAAAGAAATACATTGTCAGAAGTGGGATTTGAACCAACGCCCACGCAAGTGGACTACGACCTGATTGCAGCGCCTTAAACCGCTCGTCCATCCTGACACGCAAAATAGCTTTCCCTTGCATTTAGTTCTTTAACCTCAAAAAATGACTGAATAGAAATACATTGTCAGAAGTGGGATTAGAACCCACGCCCACACAAGTGGACTGCGACCTGAACGCAGCGCCTTAGACCGCTCGGCCATCCTGACACGTGGGAGAGTGTTTCCTTTCATTTAATTAATGACAACTTAAAAAAATGAATGAATGAAATATAATTGTCAAACGTGGAATCCGAAACCACGCCTGCAGAATTTTACTGCGACTTAAACGCAGCGCTTTAGACCGCTAAGGAATCTTAACCTGTGAAAGATCTTTCCCTTACATTTAGTTTATGAGAACTAAAAAAATAATGACTGAATAAATTTACATTATCAGAAGTGGGATTCGAACCCACGCCAAAACCGAGTGGACTTCGACATGAACGCAGCGCCTTTGACCGCTTGGCCATTCGTAAATTTGAGAAAACGTTTCCTTTAATTTACTTTTGAGAACTAAAAAAAATAACTAAATATAATTGCTCGACGTGGGGAGTTGAAGCCCCAAACACGCAACGTGCGACCTGATTGCAGGCATCGGCCATCCTGACACGTGCGAGGGCATTTTCTTACATTTAAGTTATGAGAACTAAAAAAAAATGACTGAATAAAATTCTATTGTCAGAAGTGGAATGTGATCTAAACGCAGCGCTTTAGACCGATAGGCCATCCTGACATGTGAAAGAGTTTTCCCTTTCATTTAGTTTTTGGAACCTATGAAAAGTACGCGAATAAAATTTTATTGTCAGAAGTGGGATTCGAACAGACGCCCACAGAATTGGTCTGCGACCTGAACGCAGCGCCTAAGACCGCTCGGCCATCCTGACACGCAGAATAGCTTTCCCTTGCATGTAGTTTTTTTAAACTCAAAAAATGACTGAAATAAATACATTGTCCGAAGTGGGATTCGAACCCACGAACACGCAAGTGGAGTACGACCTGATTGCAGCGCCTTAAACCGCTCGTCCCTCCTGACACGCAAAATAGCTTTCCCTTGCATTTAGTTCTTTAACCTCAAAAAATGACTGCATAGAAATACATTCTCAGAAGTGGGATTCGAACCCACGCCCAAACAAGTGGACTGCGATCTGAACGCAGCGCCTGAGACCGCTCGGCCATCCTGACACGTGGGAGAGTGTTTCCTTTCATTTAATTAATGAGAACTAAAAAAATGAATGAATGAATTATAATTGTCAAACGTGGAATTCGAAACCACGCCTGCAGAATTTTACTGGGACCTAAACGCAGCGCTTTAGACCGCTCAGTAATCTTACCCTATGAAAGATCTTTGCCTTACATTTAGTTTATGAAAACTAAAAAAATAACGACTGAATAAAATTACATTATCAGAAGTGGGATTCGAACCCACGCCAAAACCGAGTGGACTTCGACATGAACGCAGCGCCTTTGACCGCTTGGCCATCCTGAAATTTAAGAAAACGTTTCCTTTTATTTACTTTAGGAAAACTAAAAAAAATAACTAAATATAATTGCTCGACGTGGGAGTTGGACCCCCGAACACGCGAGTGTACTGCGACCTGATTGCAGCGCCTTAGACCGCTCGGCTATCCTGACACGTGCGAGAGCGTTTCCTTACATTTAAGTTATGAGAACTAAAAAAAAAATGACTGAATAAAATTTTATTGTCAGAAGTGGGATTCTAACCCACGCCCTCAGAAGTGGAATGTGAGCTAAACGCAGCGCCTTAGACCGATCGGCCATCCTGACGTGTGAAAGAGTTTTTTCCCTTACATTTAGTTTTTGGAACCTAAGAAAAGTATGTGAATAAAGTTTTATTGTCAGAAGTGGGATTCGAACCCACGCCCACAGAAGTGGACTGCGACCTGAACGCAGAGCCTTAGACCGCTCGGCCATCCTGACACGCAAAATAGCTTTCCCTTGCATAAAGTCTTTCAACCACAAGAAATGACTGAAAGAAATACATTGTCAGAAGTGGGATTTGAACCAACGCCCACGCAAGTGAACTGCGACCTGAACGCAGCGCCTTAGACCGCTCGGCCATCCTGACACGTGGGAGAGTGTGTTTCCTTTCATTTAATTAATGAGAACTAAAAAAATGAATGAATGAATTATAATTGCCAAACGTGGAATCCGAAACCACGCCTGCAGAATTTTACTGCGACCTAAACGCAGCGCTTTAGACCGCTCTGAAATCTTAACCTATGAAAGATCTTTGCCTTACATTTAGTTTATGAAAACTAAAAAAAATGACTGAATAAAATTTTATTGTCAGAAATGGGATTCGAAACCACGCCCACAGAAGTGGAATGTGATCTAAACGCAGCGCCTTAGACCGATCGGCCATCCTGACATGTGAAAGAGTTTTCCCTTACATTTAGTTTTTGGAACCTAAAAAAGTATGTGAATAAAATTTTATTGTCCGAAGTGGAATTCGAACCCACGCCCACAGAATTGGACTGCGACCTGAACGAAGCGCCTTAGACCGCTCGGCCATCCTGACACACAGAATAGATTTCCCTTGCATATAACTTTTTTAAACTCAAAAAATGACTGAAAGAAATACATTGTCCGAAGTGGGATTCGAACCCACGAACACGCAAGTGGTCTGAAATTTGAGAAAACGTAAATTTAATTTACTTTATGAGACCTAAAAAAATTAACTCAACTAAATATAATTGCTCGACGTGGAAGTTTGACCCGCGAACGCGCAAGTGTACTGCGACCTGATTGCAGCGCCTTAGACCGCTCGGCGATCCTGACACATGCGAGAGCGTTTCCTTACATTTAAGTTATGAGAACTAAAAAAAAATGACTGAATAAAATTCTATTGTCAGAAGTGGAATGTGATCTAAACGTTTAGTTTAGATCACATTTAGAAACGATCAAAGAACGATTTAGTTCTTTAATCTCAAAAAATGACTGCATAGAAATAATCTGTCAGAAGTGGGATTCAATCCCACGCCCACACATGTTGACTGCGTCCTGAACGCAGCGCCTTAGACCGCTCGGCCATCCTGACACACAGAAGAGGGTTCCCTTGCATGTTGTTTTTTTAAACTAAAAAAATTACTGAAAGAAATATATTGTCCTAAGCGGGATTCGAACCCACGAACACGCAAGTGGACTACGACCTGATTGCAGCGCCTTAAACCGCTCGTCCCTCCTGACACGCAAAATAGCTTTCCCTTGCATTTAGTTCTTTAACCTCAAAAAATGACTGAATAGAAATACATTGTCAGAAGTGGGATTCGAACCCAAGCCCACACAAGTGAACTGCGACCTGAACGCAGCGCCTTAGACCGCTCGGCCATCCTGACACGTGGGAGAGTGTGTTTCCTTTCATTTAATTAATGAGAACTTAAAAAAATGAATGAATGAAATATAATTGTCAAACGTGGAATCCGAAACAACGCCTGCAGAATTTTACTGCGACTTAAACGCCGAGCTTTAAACCGCTCAGGAATCTTAACCTGTGAAAGATCTTTCCCTTACATTTAGTTTATGAGAACTAAAAAAATAATGACTGAATAAAATTACATTATCAGAAGTGGGATTCGAACCCACGCCAAAACCGAGTGGACTTCGACATGAACGCAGCGCCTTTGACCGCTTGGCCATCCTGAAATTTGAGAAAACGTTTCCTTTAATTTAGTTTATGAGAACTAAAAAAATAACTCAACTAAATATAATTGCTCGACGTGGGAGTTGGACCCCCGAACACGCAATTGTACTGCGACCTGACTGCAGCGCCTCAGACCGCTCGGCCATCCTGACACAAGCGAGAGCGTTTCCTTACATTTAAGTTATGAGAACTAAAAAAAAATTAATGAATAAAATTTTATTGTCAGAAGTGGGATTCGAACCCACGCCCACAGAAATGGACTGCGACCTGAACGCAGCGCCTTAGACCGCTCGGCCATCCTGACACGCAAAATTGCTTTCCCTTGCATAATGTTTTTTAACCTCAAAAAATGACTGAAAGAAATACATTGCCAGAAATGGGATTCGAACTCACGCCCACACAAGTGGACTGCGACCTGAACGCAGCGTATTAGACCGCTCGGCCATCCTGACGTGTGGGAGAGTGTTACCTTTCATTTAATTAATGAGAACTTAAAAAATTGAATGAATGAAATATAATTGTGAAATGTGGAATCCGAAACAACGCCTGCAGAATTTTACAGCGACCTGAACGCAGCGCTTTATACCACTCAGGAATCTTAACCTATGAAAAATCTTTGCCTTACATTTAGTTTATGAAAACTAAAAAGATAATGACTGAATAAAATTACATTATCAGAAGTTGGATTCGAACCCACGCCAAAACCGAGTGGACTTCGACATGAACGCTTTGACCGCTTGGCGAAAACGTTTCCTTTAATTTAGTTTTGAGACCGTGGGAGCTCGGCCATCCTGACACGTGGGAGTGTGTTTCATTTCATTTAATTAATGAGAACTTAAAAAAATGAATGAATTAAATATAATTGTCAAACGTGGAATCCGAAACCACGCCTGCAGAACTTTACTGCGACTTAAACGCAGCGCTTTAGACCGCTCAGGAATCTTAACCTGTGAAAGATCTCTTTCCCTTACATTTAGTTTATAAGAACTAAAAAAAAAATGACTGAATAAAATGTTACTGTCACAAGTGGGATTCGAACCCACGCCCACAGAATGGGAATGTGATCTAAACGCAGCGCCTTAGACCGATCGGCCATCCTGACATGTGAAAGAGTTTTCCCTTACATTTAGTTTTTGGAACCTAAGAAAAGTATGTGAATAAAATGTTATTGTCAGAAGTGGGATTCGAACCCACGCCCACAGAAATAGACTGCGACCTGAACGCAGCGGCTTAGACCGCTCGGCCATCCTGACACGCAAAATTGCTTTCCCTTGCATAATGTTTTTTAACCTCAAAAAATGACTGAAAGAAATACATTGTCAGAAATGGGATTCGAACCAACGCCCACGGAAGTGGACTACGACCTGATTGAAGCGCCTTAAACCGCTCGTCCGTCCTGACACGCAAAATATCTTCCCCTTGCATTTAGTTCTTTAACCTCAAAAAATGACTGAATAGAAATACATTGTCCGAAGTGGGATTCGAACTCACGCCCACACAAGTGGACTGCGACCTGAACGCAGCGTATTAGACCGCTCGGCCATCCTGACGCGTGGGAGAGTGTTACCTTTCATTTAATTTTATGAGAACTTAAAAAATGAATGAATGAAATATAACTGTCAAATGTGGAATCTGAAACAACGCCTGCAGAATTTTACAGCGACCTGAACGCAGCGCATTAGACCACTACGGAATCTTAACCTATGTAAAATCTACGCCTTACATTTAGTTTATGAAAACTAAAAAGATAATGACTCAATAAAATAACATTACCAGAAGTGGGATTCGAACCCACGCCAAAACCTAGTGGACTTCGACATAAACGCAACGCCTTAGACCGCTCGTCCATCCTGACACGTGCGAGAGCGTTTCCTTACATTTAAGTTATGAGAACTAAAAAAAATGACTGAATAAAATTTTATTGTCAGAAGTGGGATTTGAACCCACGCCCACAGAATTGGAATGTGATCTAAACGCAGCGCCTTAGACCGCTCGGCAATCCTGACACATGCGAGAGCGTTTCCTTACATTTAAGTTATGAGAATTAAAAAAAAGGATGAATAAAATTTTATTGTCAGAAGTGGAATTCGAACCCACGCCCACAGAAGTGGAATGTGATCTAAACGCAGCGCATTACATCGATCAGCCTTCCTGACATGTGAAAGAGTTTCCTTACATTTAGTGTTTGGAACCTAAGAAAAGTATGTGAATAAAATTTTATTGTCAGAAGTGGGATTCGAACCCACGCCCACAGAAGTGGACTGCGACCTGAACGCAGCGCCGTAGACCGCTCGTCCTCCCTGACACGCAAAATAGCTTTCCCTTGCATGTAGTTTTTAACCTCAAAAAATAAATGAAAGAAATACATTGTC